TAATTCTGGCACACCACAGCTTAAAATAAATGAATAGTCTCAGATGTCACGGGTCCACAACCCTAGGGCTGCAGTACCCATCCATGCCCTGTTAGGAACCAGGCCAAGAGCAGGAGGGAGAGTGGGTGAGAGCTCCACCTCCTGTCAGAGAAGCAGCAGCATTAGATTCTCATAGGAGTGTGAATCTTGTTGTGAATGCACATGTGAGGGAGTTAGCTTTTGCAGATTCTCCTTATGAGATCTAACTAATGCCTGATGATCTGAGGTGGGATAGTTTCACCTCAAAACCATCCTCTGCGCTCCACCCCAGGTGCTTGGAAAAAAATTTTCTTCTACAAAATCGGTCCCTGGTGTCAAGAGGTTGAGGACTGCTGTCATATGTGACTGCAACAAGTTACAATTTGCAATGCCCCCCCTTTTTTTTTGAGACAGAGTCTCACTTTGTTATCCAGGCTGGAGTAGAGTGGTGTGATCTTGGCTCACTGCAACCTCAGCCTCTGGGTTCAAGAGATTCTCATGCCTCAGTCTCCTCAGTAGCTGGGATTATAGGTGCCCACCACCATGCCAGCTAATTTTTGTATTTTTAGTAGAGACAGGGTTTAGAAGAGACCATGTTGGCCAGGCTGGTCTCAAACTGCCGATCTCAGGTGATCCACCTGCCTCGTCCTCCTGAAGTGCTGAGATTATAGGCATGGGCCACCGCGCCTGGCCTGCAATATCTTTAGATGGTCGTTTGCAGTATTTATTAATTTTAGATACGTATGCCCTTTAACTTGGCAATGGAATTGCTGGGAATTTATCCTACAGATAAATTGACATAATTAGACAAAAAGTCCACAGCTGAAAGAGTGGCATTATCTATTATTCCCACTTTCTTGCTAAAACTATCAAGGTCTTAAAAGGTAAATGCAAGGCCCTCACTTGTACAAGTTGGAGCCAGGATTAGAATCCAGATCTGTTTGAAACCTAATTGACTCAGAGATGGCATTAGCGACGTCTGATACACCTGAATGTGCCAGCCCTATTCACAGTCCTGTCCTGACCAACAACTCTCTGCTTCATCCTTTGAGCACAAACAAGCTATCTGTTAGCCTGTGGAAGACCTTAGGACTTCATGTTACAAGTCTCAGCTTTGCCCAAAACTCGCTGGGTGACTCTCGGCAAGTCAACTGCTTGCCCTCTCTGGGCCTTGTATTTTTCAGCCTAGTACAGGGCGCTAGGCTAGCCTGGTACAGCCTAGTATGAGGGGCTTAAATTTCTAAGCCCCTTACCTTTTTTTTTTTTTGAGACAGAGTCTCACTCTGTTGCCCAGGCTGGAGTGCAGTGAAACAATCCTGACCCACTGCGGCCTTGACCTTCTGGGCTCAAGTGATCCTCCTGCCTCAGCCTCCTGAATAACTGGGACTACAGGTGCATGCCACCATGCCCAGTTAATTTAAACAACTTTTTTTTGTAGAGAGGGTACCTTGCTGTGTTTCCCCGTCTGTTCTCAAACTCCTGACTTCAAGGCATCCTCCCACCTTGGCCTCCCCAGATGCCGGGATTACAAGCGTGTCTTGCCATACCTGACCTCTACAGCTCTTTCCTAGCAACTCTGATGAGGTGATTCCTCCTGAACCCCTGAAGCCCTGAGACAAGTCACAGATTCTGAGCCCCCCTTTCAGCCACTGTGAGCGCTTCTTCCTCTTTCCTCAGATCACAATCAAGGTTTCCTTCAAATTCTTGCCTGGCTTTCTCTAAACTCAATCTTTCCTCCATTGTGTGGCCAGGGTTAAATACTGAAAGGTTAGGGGTGGAGGGAGAAGACAGAGAGAGCAAAAAGTCCACCCCTTAAAGTATGCCATCAAGACCCTAAATAAGCCAGGCATGCTGGCTCATGCCTGTAATCCCAGCGCGTTGGGAGACCAAGGAAGGCGGATGACTGGAAGTCAGGAGTTCGTGACCAGCCTGGCCAACATGGTGAAACCCCATCTCTACGAAAACTACAAAAATTAGCCAGACATGGTGGTGGGTGCCTGTAATCCCAACTACTCAGGAGGCTGAGTCCGGAGAATTGCTTGAATCCAGGAGGTGGAGGTTGCAGTGAGCCAAGATTGCACCACTGCTCTCCGGCCTGGGTGACAGAGCAAGATTCCATCTCAAAATAAATAAAAATAAAAAAAACTAAACAAATGTAACTGGAGTTTGTAATCTTCCCATTCCAGGTAAGGAACTGTGGTTTAATAGATTAAAGATTATAATCACCACTTGCAGCCCGAATGGAAATGAGGTTGATGAGAAGAGATCACAGGGAAGAAAATTAAGTCGCTTCTCCTTTAAAGGGCACAGCATTTAGGCCTCCCAGTTCTGCCAAAAACTAGCTGTGCCATACTGAGTGAACATCGTGAACTCTCTGGTGGCGTTTGCTATAAATAACCAACTACTGAAGTTAACCAGGGGCCAGGCACGGTGCTAGACATCCATACACGCTAGCTCATCAAATCCTCCCACGAGGTTATCTGTTAAACTCTGGAGTTAAGAAGCTCGAGATTTGTAGACTCTAGTTTTCCTCACTGGCTGGCTGAGCTATCTTGAGCAAGTTATTCACACTCCACATTTATAAAATAAAGCCGGTTATAATAACAGTGTCTACTCTAAAGGGTTGTTATGAAGACTTACAATATCCACAAAGGGTTTAGCAGCCTGCCAGGCAAAGATGCCCAACCAACATTTGTTATTCTCATGAGCCCCATTGCCCAGATGAGAAAGTGAGGTCTGGGGAGGCGATGTAGATGATTTCTACATTTGCTTATGACCTCCTATGATTCTAAGAATTGAAAATTGAAATTGGTCTTCAAGAAACATCTACTATGTATCTACTTTTGGAATTACATGCTTGTGCCTAAAACATAAAAGCCACCTGTTTGGATTGAAGCACTGTGGAAAGGAGACAATTCTCCTCCCCCCCAAAAAGGCAAACTTCTTAATAAGAGGGGGTAGGAAAAAAGGATCCCACTTTTCTCCCAAATGTCTTCTCCTTGGGGTTTCTCCACTAGTTCCTGAATGGGTGAGGGACACGGTAGAGAAGTCCCCAGGGATCAACAGGGCTGCAGTGCAAGGCTGGGTAACTGACGAGGGGGCCGAGATGGCCTCATGGAAAACGCTTCCATAAATGGGCATGTTTGCCTCCATCTCAGCCCTCCCACAAAAAAGTAATAACAAATCCATAGCAAATACCTTGTACGGAATAACACATCTATTTCGGACATGATAACAAAAAAACATGGCAAGCCCGGTGGCTTCTTGAAAAAGGCCCAGCTAGTTCACGTTCTGGACTCTCGGGATGGCAGCCCACCTGGGGTCACTGGTTTCAACTAGATCACCCACCCCCCTGACCAGGGGACAAACAGCGCCTTTTATTTTAAATGTGCAAAAGGTCAGTTTATGTTTTCTTCAAAGGGGATGATAAACATTTACTTCGTTGGAAGCATTTAGTTCTAACAGAAACCTGACCCCAAACACGTTGGTGTCCATGGTAAAAAAAAGAAAGACGGTGGGGTCAAGGGTATGAACTTGGACTCAAACAGACCTGCGAATGGGCTCTGCCACTTACTGGCTGTGTGACACTTTACCTCCCTGAGCCTCAGCTGCCTTGTGTACTAAACAGGCTTCAGAATGCCTTTCTCATGAAGTTGCTGCAAGGATTAAATGAGATAAATGTTGCAACAGCATGTGGCACTGAAGTGTCCCATCAACGGTAGCTATCCCAATGGGAAAACATCCATTTTCCTTCCAACAAAGTTCCCTATCTTATTTCACACCCGCTACCTAATGACTTTCAGTTCAGCGTCTTCGAGTTCCCTCTCTAAACAAGTCTAAAATGGTATCGTTAAGTAAACCAAAGAAACAAACAACAAGAGAACCCGACGCAAAGCAGTTTACTAATAGCCTGCCTGCTTTTCTCCAGCCCTGGACAGTTCACGACTTAATCTCTCAGTTCTTCTTACCGCAACTAAATACTCCTGGTCTTGGGTTTCTCAATATTTTCTTTTACTTCTTGACAAGCATGGTTTTGAATGGTACCTTTTCTCAAGTGGCAAAATCCCTACCAGACCCTGTGCTGGAAGAAAACTTACAACAGGCAGTAGCCACACTTTCTCTCGTTTTAGCCATCTGGTTGGGCGTGAGAGCGGCATGGACACAGGTGGCTCTGTGGGAAATTCCAGTGTAATCTTATCTAATGCACCTGCAGATCATGGAAGCAAATGGAGGCTTTGGAGCCCACCTGGGTATTGGGGGCCCTTGGGGTCAACCTGGGTCAGATTTTTTTTTTTTAATTTGGAGAAGATTTTAAAAGTAGGCTGTAATAAACCGGTTCATAACCAGCCTTATCTCCCAGGGGTTCTCAACATTTACCTCCCCTAAACTGATGAAAACCCCTTCTGCTAAGCCTATACCCTGTGTTTTTAACTGATTTAACGCATTATCAACACAACTGCGCAGGTCAAATCCACTAGGAGCCTCACTTTGCCTGTCTGTGATAGCAAGTGACTTGACAGTGAAGTTCAGCTGCGCTTTCTTTAGTGCCTAGAATAAAAGTGAGATGCCTGATTGTCTACACGGGAGCCCTGAGATTTCCAACGGAGCCTATCTCCTAGATTAGCCTTTTAACAAGAATCACCCGGGACGGCTGATTTTTTTTTTTAAAGGGGAGTTTTTCTGGGGATTCTAGAGTTGGGAACTGGAATTGAGTCCAGGCACTGGTATTGTTAGTAACCACCGCCAAAATGGTACTTCTCACTGGCAACCTTGAGAAATGCTGTTTGGGGAAAGACTGGGATAATCTAGGATGATAAGGGCAGAGAGAATTCCAAATCACAATTCTGCCTCTACCAGGGTCCTTGCGAGGTTGACAACAGGGACCCCTAAGCGCACCCCAACCCCTGTAGAATACCCTATAGGACTTTTAACCCCCCCACACACACACCCAATCTGCCCCCAGAAGGACCACTACTACTTACAGATCTCCAACTGGGGGAGCTAGAGGAGAGGAACTGGATGGTGAGCTCGGAACCGACGCACCTCCCAGGCCGGGGCGGCCAAATCTCCCTGCGCGTCTCGGACGCCTCTCTTTATAGACCCGGAGCTGTCCACGGGTGGGAAAGGGGAGGAGGCCGAAGGGGTGGAGTTGGGGAGGGTCCCTCGCGGCCACCTCGTCGCGCCCCCTGCAGGGCACACCCGGCGGGAGCACAAGGGGCTGGGGTGCTCAGGACAAGGACGCACAGAACAGGTGCGCACAGGGATAGGAGTCTCACTCCCGGCCCCGGGGCGGTCGCAGACACTCCGGAGGGGTCGAGCAGGCAGCGTCTCTGCGGCATACTTAATGTCTTCCCTGAGTCGGTTCCAGCCGCACGGGCTTTAACCTCTTCCTCTCTGAGCCAGGGCCGTGGTGGATCTGACTTAACACCTCCCACCCCACTTCCCATTTTATTGACATATGCACTGCCTAGAGAGAGGGCCGGCTGTGCTGCGTGAAGGGTAGGGAAAGGGGATTTCTTGAACTTTGCAAAGTACAAGACAGGAGGCCCCCACCCTTGCTGGGAATTGTGCAGGAAGGGGAAGTTTTTACTTTTCCCAACTTGCCATCTCCCCTCCACCCACACCATCATGACCCAAATACAAATAAAAATTAAAAATAAGCTCACTGTGGTTACTTCGGCTGCCCCCCTCCCCTGTGTGACACTCAATAGCTGCGTGACCTTGGGCAAGTCACTTCACTTCTCTGAGCCTCGGTGTTCGCAGCTGGAAAATGGGGGAAGGCGGTGTCGGTGGTAATTACGTAATTTGCAAGGTGCAAATGTCAAGATCGAAGGAGAAAGTGGGTGCGCCCCCAGAGCCTGCACGTTCCCTTCAACTGCTGCTCCGCCCCAAGGATTCCTCGCCTAAAGTTGCACAGCCCTCTGCCACCGTCTCTCCATCTCAGCGCCACTCTCCTCTGTCCCGGGTTGGTCCCAGTCTGTGTGAGTCTCTCTCGTGTGACTGACACCGTCTCCCCATCACCGACTCTCTTGCTCTGTCTCTGCCACTGTCTCCGCATACCACTCTGATCACTACTGTCTCCCGCTCTATCTTTTGTCCCGTCCCTCTCGCTGTCTCTAGATCTGTCGATGTCTCTGTCTCTTCCTCGCGTCTCACTGTCTCTGGTCTATGTCTCTTGCTCTCCATCCCTCCCGCAAGTCTCACTCCTATCTCTGCGCGCTCTTTCTCACTCTCTCTGTTCCTCAGACTCTCCGTCTTCTCCCGGTCCCTCTCCCCTCCTGTCCACGCACGCACACACAGGCCATAAAAGGAAGTCGAGGCGGTGGGCTGGCCCCGCGCCAGGCCGGGGACCCGCGGACAGCCCCGGAGCTCTGCTCCCCGCGCGGCACCGGCTCCTCCGAGGTTTCCGAGCCGGGCCGGGCCTGTCCCCCTCCCCGGGCACGGCGGGAGCGGCGGGCGGGAGACAACCCAAAAAGGGCAGACGCGGGCTCCTTCCTGCAGGAATTCCCAGCGCCGCATACCAGCCCGGGGCTGCCCGCTCCCCCTGACTAAATATGGTGCCGAGCGGCCTCCCTATTCGCCTGGCGCGGGGGAGGAGGCCCTTCACGCAGCCGCTGGCCGCTGTCGCCCTGCGGGGAGTAAAGGGGACCCCCTCTGGGTGGGGCAGGCCCGGAAGGGGGAAGCCCCCAGTCCCACGTGAGTTTCTGCTGCTTCAGGCCAGAGGGTCTGGAGACAAGATTAAAGTTGGGCAGACCCCTGCTGGGCTCTGTACTTGGCAGAGGCTCTTAGTCTACAACCACTGAGAGGATGGGGTGGGGGGGTGCTTTCATACCCCCATGGTTGCAGGTGAGAAAACCGAGTCCCCGCAGCGGGTAAAGGGATTTGCCCAAGCTCTCACTGGGACAGTCATGGATTGCTGCTGGCACTGGAACCTTTCTGATGACACCATTCACTTCCAGAGAGGAGACATTAAAGGGATGTGCCCAGGCAAACTGGCCTTGAGGCCCAGGGCGGGTCTGTGAGAATAGATGTCTGGGTTCAAATCTGTAGGTACTGCTTTCTACCTATTTGACCATGGGCAAGTAACTTTGCCTCTCCATGCCTCAGTTTCCCTACCTGTAAGATGGGAAGAACATCAGCTACTTCCTGGCCTTTCTGTAAGCAGTCGTTGAGTTGATCCATGTAAAATGACCACAGTTCACTGCTTCAAGTTAGCTGCTGATATTTGCAACAAACATGAAACCAACTAGAGGGGCACTTGGCCTTGGGGACATAAAAAGAGGGCTCTTTCCCTGCAGGCTCCCAGGCCCCTCTGCATCTCAGAGCTCTGCATCTCAGACCCTCTTGGGTCCTTCTTCCTCCTCCCAACCTCAAGCTCATCTGGTTTTCACTCTGGAAACTCCTGAGCCTGGCCCTCACACTGCAACAGGCCTAAATCAGAGAGTCAAGAACAGCCTGCATTTAGCTGGCAGGGGAAGTGAGGGGTAAAGCTCTTAGAAAATGATGAATGAGCTGCTCCCCACATGCTTTTAACATCTACGCTGTAAAAGGAGTGGAAATCGTCCTTGCGTTATTAGCACAGCAATGTTGTGAAGCAGAGAAGTAAGGGAAGGGGGAAAATTGAAGTCACTCATCCCCTTCCCATCCTGGAAAGAGAATGCAGGGCAGGCTGTCGGAATCTAACTCACTGGCCTGGAAGTAAAAAGTGGTATTCATACCAGGGGCATGAATATTGTACTTTCAAAGGGTTCCATTTGATTCTTTAAAGAACTTGCTGGTAGCTTTTACAACAGAATTAATTATAATGTAATTAACAATTGGAGACTTTGTAACAAACACTCAATTTTACTTCATTCTCTCACATACTCCTTGTAACAACCCTTTATTAAAAAATAAAGTAGCCAGCCAGGTCTGGTGGCTGGCGCCTGTAATCCCAGCACTTTGGGAGGCTGAAGCGGGTGGATCACTTGAGGTCATGAGTTCGAGACCACCCTAGTCAACATAGGAACCCCCCGCCTCTACTAAAAATACAAAAATTAGCGGCAGGGCATGGTGGCTCATGCCTGTAATTTCAGCACTTTGGGAGGCCAGGGCGAGTGGATCACCTGAAGTCAGGAGTTCCAGACTAGCCTGACTAAAATGGTGAAATCCCACCGCTACTAAAAATACAAAAAATTAGCTGGGCATGGTGCCCAGTGCCTGTAATCCCAGCTACTTGGGAGGCTGAGGCAGGAGAATCCCTTGAACCCAAGAGGTGGACACTGCAGTGAGCTGAAGTCTTGCCACTGCACTCCAGCCTGGGCAATGAGTAAAACTCAGCCTCAAATAAATAAATAAAAAAAATAGCTGGGCATGTGGCGTGCACCTATAGTCCCAGCTACTCAGGAGGCTGAGGCAGAAGAATCACTTGAACCTGGGAGGTAGAGGTTGCAGTGAGCTGAGATTGTGGCACTGCACTCCAGCCTGCGTGACAGAGCAAAACTCCATCTCACAAAAACAACCCAACAAAAAACTGAAGTAGCCTAGGCCAAGTACGGTGGCTCACGGCTGTAATCCCAGTACTTTGGGAGGCCAAGGCGGGAGGACTGCCTGAGCTCAGAAGTCTGAGACAACCTGGCCAACAGGGTGAAACCCCATCTCTACAAAAAATACAAAAATTAGCCAGGTGTGGGGGTGGGCACCTGTAATCCTAGCTACTCAGGAGGATGAAGTGAGAGGATCACTTCAGCCTGGGAGGCAGAGGTTGCAATGAGCTGAGATTGCGCCATTGTATTCCAGCCTGGTGGCAGACTAAGACCTTACCTTGGGGAAAAAAAATAAATTATAGCCAGCCTGGGCAACATGGTGATATCCTATCTCTATAAATAAATAAATAGCAGCAGGGCACGGTCTAGCCTGTAGTTCCAGCTACAAGGAGGCTGATGTAGGAGGATCTCTTGAGCCTGGAAGGTTTAGGCTGCAGTGAACTATGATTGCACCACTGCATTCCAGCCTGGGTGACAGAGCAAGTCTGAAAAAAATAAAATATGTACTTTAATCCCCATCGCACCCCCATTTTGTTGTTGAGAATCTAGGTTTGGAGATGTTAAATAATGTGGCAGTGATGGGACAGGAATTCCAGCCCCAGGCTTACTGATAGTCCATAGTTAGTAGACAGAAGTCTGAGCCTTTTTTTTTTTTTTTTTTAAAGACAGAATTTCACTCGTTACCCAGGCTGGAGTGCAATGGCACAATCTCGGCTGACCGCAACTTCTGCCTCCCAGGTTCAAGCAATTCTCCTGCCTCAGTTTCCTGAGTAGCTGGGACGCACCACCACGCCCAGCTAATTTTTTGTATTTTTAGTAGAGATGGGGTTTCACCATGTTGACCAGGATGGTCTCGATCTCTTGACCTCGTGATCCACCTGCCTCGGCCTCTCAAAGTGCTGGGATTACAGGTTTGAGCCACTGTGCCCGGCCCCAAGTCTGAGCTTTTTTTTTTTAATTGCATTTTAGGTTTTGGGGTACATGTGCAGAGCATGCAATACAGTTGCATAGGTACACACATGGCAGTGTGTTTTGTTTGCTTTCTCCCCTTCACCCACATTTAGCATTTCTCCCCAGGCTATCCCTCCCCACCTCCCCCTCCCACTGGCCCTCCCCTTTTCCCCCCAATAGACCCCAGTGTTTAGTACTCCCCTCATTCATCACCCGCCTATGAGTGAGAATATGCGATGTTTCATTTTCTGTTCTTGTGTCAGTTTGCTGAGAATGATGTTCTCCAGATTCATCCATGTCCCTACAAAGGACACGAACTCATCGTTTCTGATTGCTGCATAATATTCCATGGTGTATATGTGCCACATTTTCCCAGTCCAGTCTATCATCAATGGGCATTTGGGTTGATTCCAGGTCTTTGCTATTGTAAACAGTGCTGCAATGAACATTCGTGTGCATGTGTCCTTATAGTAGAACAATTTATAGTCCTTTGGATATATACCCAGTAATCTTTTAAGCACCAACTAAGCAGCTCTGAGATTGTCAGTAAACCTCTCTGAGCCCGTTCTCTGAAAGAAAAGCAAAGATGATCAGATTCTTTGCCTCAAGTACCTTTCTGATTGTTAAATATGACAGCACATGTGAAGGCCTTTATG